TGTTGGCAGAGAAAAACAGGCAGAAACCAGAGCTTTGCTAATGGCAAGCTGGTCCTATAAAGCCTTTTCTGGCAGGTTGGTGACAGCCTTGGACATACGATGCCCGAGAAATCCTAATTTCACTATTGGACCCTTCCTTGCAGCCTTGCTCATGGGAGCTCTGCAGCTGGTCTCCCGCCTCTGCCTACCCCACCAGCACTGCGGGGTTTGGGAGGGCATGAGGGCTTGTGTGGGCTCCCCCCCCCACCGAGAGTTACGGGGCTCAGGGGGTTCAGCTCCCCGGCACAGGGATTTGCTGCCCAGTGTTGTGTGAAGGTGGCTGGGCATGATCACGCCTGGCCTTGGGGAGAGGAGGAGGGCTGCGGCAAAGCAGAGATTAAGGGATGTAATGGAGGCCAGAGAGCAAATAAATAAAGCAAAGCCTGGCACGCCTCCTCGGCTGGCCTTGGCTGGCTGGGGGATGTGGCTCTGGGACCCCGTCCCGCACACACTTACCCCAAGGCAGCCATCGCCTCTGCCGTCCCCCCAGCTCTGGGGCTGGTCCCTCTCCCATGGGAAAGGCGTCAAAACACCCTACAAGGGGTCTTCGGCCGCCCAGCTGGCATTTAATAAGTGCAGTGCCTTAGGCAGCAAGGAGAACTGCTGCTTTGCAGGCTGCATCTCTTGAAAAGACAGAGCCAGAATGGGTATAGGTGTAAAAAAGGTAAAGGGGGGGGCTTCATCCTTCCTTGCTGATCTCCTGTTTGGCCTTAGCATCCCTGTACGTGCAGGGAGATCACCCTGCCCCTGTGGGGATCAGCCTGGGGCCACTCCCGGGTGTTACCTCTCTCACTTGATCATAAAGTCATCTCGTGAGGGTGACTTCAACCCTGGTTACTGACGGTTGTGTAACCCAGCTCTTCGGAGGTTTGGCCCTTCTCAGCATCAGACCGACGTCTCTGCTGCTGCAGTGTACGTGGGCGATACCCCAGCATCTTTGCTTTGCCCTTTTGGGACTAAATACATCCACGTGTTATTTATTCCCCTTCCCCAACTCTTTCTAGCATGTTTCCCAGCGTAATCCCAGACTGCGACCCCACCATTTCTCCCAGACTGTATCACATCTGCATGGCACCTGTCTCTGTAAGTACCTGCCACGTCCCACGGGGGGGGGGTTATCTGCCCCAGTGTCGTATTTGCTGTCCCCCAGCTTGGGTCATGCCCATCTACTCCCAAATAGCAAGTCTGGGCTCTTCAGCTTGAGCCAGAGCGAGGCTTGAGCTGGGATGCTCTAACAAGGGACTCACACGTCTCCAGACTTTGTTTTGTGCCTGTAGTCAATGGAAGGCTTTGATTTATTTTTATTTTTTCCCAGCGTGGTCCCTTTGAGGCGCTTAGAGCCTGTAACTCATCAGAGCAAGTTGAGAAGTGCCCGTCCCTGCTTCAGCCATGGCTGGATTTAGGGTGTTGGATGGAGACGGTGTCTCCGTGAAGGCCCCATCACATAGCAGCATGTCCGAGCCCCCCCCCCAGACACCCCCATGGAATTATTGCTCCCTCGATTGTGTTTCTGGCAGCTGGCTGTGCTCGTGGGCTTGTCCTTGCTGGTGAAACGCAGGCGTCTCCACCGGAGCTGCTGGAATGGTGTCCCGGGATTGCTCAGGTACCCCGGCCCTGCATCCCAGTCCCCAGGGTCCCTGTCACCCTGCAGCCAAGCAGGTGGAGGGATGCTGAGGTGCAGCATGGGATAAACCAGCTCTGGGACAGAGGATGGTGGGGACAGGGTGCCCATGATCTGATGTCAGGCTCATCCCTTCCTTGTCTTGCAGCCCGGCCAACTTTCTGGAGGAGGAAGGCAACCGAGGGCTGGTGGCTGCGGTGTTCGGCATCCTGTTCTCCTCCCTGTGCGTGCTGGTCTTGGACAGGGACCCTCTGCCGCTCATCGCCCGCTCGTCCCAGAGCACCCGGGGTAAGGCGAACACCCTCCTGGCCCATGGGCACCACCACGCTCCTCCCCACCCAGGAGCTGTGCAGCTTTGGGTGGCATCCCTTGAGCAGCCTGTTCACTCTGGTCCATACTGAGAGCACTGCCTTCTCTTCCCCATTTTGCTCTCCCTCCCCTCTTCCCACTGTCCCATCTAGAGTACTGGAAGATCCTGGCTTTGCTCTACTACCCTGCCTTCTACTACCCCCTGATCGCCTGTGCCACTGTCCGGCACAGGGTCAGCTACCTCGTGGGCTGCCTGCTCTCCTGGTGCCACTGCGTGGTCCACATCTGGCAGAAGGTGGATTGTCCCCAGTCGCCAAAGGTATGTGTCCCGCCGCCTGGGTGGAGGGAGGCTGGTGTGGCCCAGGGTTGGAGGTTGCTTTCTCGCCACCTCCTTGAAGTGACATCAAGGTGTCACCTGCCCAGGACTAGACCCCCAGGCTGGGGTGGTCTCACGTGTGACAGCTCTGCTTCTTCCCAGATATACAGGTACTACTCTACGCTCTCTTACATCCCCATCATCCTCTGCCTTGTGCTCTTAAGCCTTTGGTATCCAGCCCTGCTCATCAGGAGCTTCACCACGCAGGAGGAGACCTTGGATAAGGAGGTAATGAAGATCCACGGGGCAACTTGGGGGGTGGTAGCACGGGAGAACGCTTTGATGGACCTGCGTGGTTCTGGGAGCTCTCCTGCCCTGCAGTCCATCTGTCTGCCTGGGGGACCGGGAGAACTGGGGTGCTCCCAGGGCACGTGTTCCCCACTTTGCTGCGGCACCGGGAGCTGCCTCCCCTCTGTCCCTCTGATGGCACGGGTCGTGGCTCTGTTTATCTTGCTGGATTTGAAGAGGGAGTGAAAAATCCATCTTTGGAGTAAACTCCTTAGTACAAGAGGCTTAAGGCATCAATGCGTCCCATTCAGGCCAGGACTGGGGTCGCCTTGTTTTCCCGGCAGGCTGGATAATCCCCAGCCCTTAGGGAAATGCCGGGCTTTGTTGGGAAGAGAAGAGGAAAAACCTACTTCAAAAAAAAAAAGCCGTCAGCCCAAGCGTGGACTGAAGTGACCCCAAGGCACTTGTTGGGAGCTGGCTGGTGGGGATGAGGGTTTTTGGCTGTCCTACCGGTGCACCTGGTTTTGGGCTGCTTTGTTGGTGGGAACAAGGCAGACTTATTTCCACCTTTGCAGTGCCGGAAGATTTGCTGCCAGCATCGCTCCAACGCCTTTGTTATCCAAACGAGGGCCGGGAGCCCATCACCTGCATCCCGTATGGAGGGTGCTGCGGGGCATCGTACGAGCAATGGGCGGGTGGATGGGGGTAGCCGAGCAAGGAGATGGCTGCTGGGTGGGATGCAGATGCTCTGGGCCCCCCAAAAGGCAGAGTCACCTCTCCCTGCCCCGGGTGCCTGAGCGTGTCCCTGTGCTCAGATCGGGCAACTTATTGCTGCTCTCCTTAAGGTTACAGGGAGAGGTTATTACAAGAAGTACCTAAAGGCTGTCCTGTCCAAACGCCCTCGGAAGGGGAGGTAAGGACAACACCTTCCCATAGCTCTGCCTGATCAGTCAGCGCCTGTGCCAGCCCTGCCTGGCTGCCTGCAACGGGGGCAGAGAGGGTCCCCTGTTGGGGACATGCTTTTCACCCTCTCCTTCCTCCTCCAGCTCCACAAAGATCGAAGAAAGTCTCCTATCAAGGGTCCAGACGTATTTACGCTCCTACATCTACGCTCCGGAGGAAGGTAGGCTGCGGGCAGGCACGGGCTGCGCTCTTGGCTGCAGCAGCAGCTCGGCAAACAGGCTGCCTCCCCCTCCCCGGGGAGAGCAAATGCCTTTCTTGGCTCCTTCCCCAAAGCATCTGTGCCGCGGCAGCTGCCGCCCGCCGCACGTGCGACGCCTCGGCTTTGCACAAACTGTTGCGGTTTGGGATGGGGAGCTGGACCACCCCCCCACCACCACCATAGGGCCATGGGTGGGCTGAGGCAGTGAGGTTCAGGCATGGATTGTGCTAATATTGCAGCCTGATGCTTGATAAGGCTACGATAAGGGAATAAAATCCTACAATAAGCGGATAAAATCCCTAACAGCCCAGGAATGGGGAGCTACTCCTTGCCCCCTCTGCCCGTGCAAGAAGCAGGGGCTGTCCTGGGAGGTGGCACCTCAAGGGAGGTGGCACCCCACACAGCAGGCGCCCGGCTCCTGGGACTTGGTGCTGCGGGCGCACGGGGTTTTGTGGGCTCGCAGGAAAGGAGGATCAACAGGAAGGAAATCCATCCAGCCGAAGTACGGCGAAACTGCTCCCAGCTATGCATCCTTGCAGGATTTCCTTGGGGAAATCTCAATTAATATTTGACTGCCCTGTTCCAGTGCTCTCCCCCAGGCGTTTGCTTTGGCTGCTGGGTTGGGTGGACCTGCAGCCTGCTCCGCTCTTTCCCCATGATCCCACATCCCAGCTCCTCTGCGATACACCACTCGAATTCTGCCTTACAGGTTTCCAGATCCCGCTGAAGCTCGTCCTGTCCATAACCATGGCCGTGATAGCTGTCTATCAGGTGATGCTGATGGTTAAATGCCAAGCAGAGCCCCCTCCCTGCCTTCTTGGCTGTGTCCTCTCGAGGCAGAGGAGCCCAGAGGCCATTGCCACGCCACAATTTTGACTACGGGGATGGTATTAGCGTGCCTCAAGGTATTACCATCCCTCAGCTGAGCCGCAGCAACGGGCCATGTGCTTCCAGGGCTCAGCCAGCCTTAAGTGTCTAAGCTAAGGCGGTGGCTCGGCAGTGGGATGCTGTGACCCGAGGCTCACGTGGCACCGCTCCCTCGCAGGTTGCCCTGCTGCTCCTGGTAGCCGTCATCCCCACCCTCCAGATCGTGCGGGCGGGGATGACGAAGGACATCGTAGTGTTGTTAGTCCAGTTTGGCTTGGTGCCCTCGGAGAGCCCGGCTGTCCCGGGTGACATGGAGAAGGAGCTCAACACCGTCAAGTACTACCTGTGGTCCCTGGAAGGTGGGTTCCCATCCAGGTCCTGCATCCATAGGTGATTTTTGGAGGATTTCAGAACTTGTCAGAGAGACTTCTAACCAGAGGATGGTCTAGGAAACCGGTTGGTGATGGGGTAGCTTCCAGGGGGCCTTAAAAACCAGCTGCTGAGGCCGCAGCCGTGCAGACATGAAAGGTGGCTGCGTGAGCCTTGTGCTGTGCCAGACATCTCCGAGCGGCTGCGGCGTGCCAAGGTGGTGAGGCAGGGAGAGCTGGCTGCGCCGCGCTGCAGATGCTGCCCTTCGGCTGCGGGCTTTGATATGTGCTGGAATCGAGCAGATGGCCCCTGGCCCCCCGGATAATTGAAAGCCCTGGATGGGGGGGTGCAGGCAAGGCAGGGGTTCCCCCTCCCTCCACAGCGCACTACCTTGGGGTACCGCCAGCCAAGGGGGGCCCTTGTTATGGCTTTTCCAGAGTCACCAAGCCCCCTCTCATCCCCTTTGTTTTCCTGACATCTCCATCCCTGCTTCCCCCCCCTCCCCAGCACCCCCTTTTCTGAGACCATCTTCCCAGGCTCTCTCCATCGCACTGCCTGCTTATCACGGCTTGCTCAATGACTTTTCCAGTGCTGAGCTAACCTAACTGCTTATGTTTCCCCTGGCTGCTTGGCTTTCCCCTTCCCTTTCACTGTGTCACCAGCTCACGCCCGCCTGGGAGATGGAGAAGGGCCTTCCTGTATCACAAAGGGGTAGGGAGGGAAACTGAGGCACGATGCCCTGCTTGGGGGGGGTGTACATCCATGCAGCCCCATAACTCGGCCCCTCCGCAATGCTCCCGAGATACATTTTTATAATAAAATCCTGTTGCTGGCCACAGCCCTGACCCAGCCGTCTCCCCCTGCTCCTCCGCAGTCTGCTACATCTGCTCGCTGGTACTGTGCTGCCTGCTGACCTGCGCCATGCTCCTGAGGACGCTGGTGATGCACAGGTACGGTGTCCTCGCTCCTCTGGCCTTGACCTTCTCACCGAGCTGGGATGCAGCTGGTCTCTCTCCCCAGGAAGAACCTGAAGGCGCTGTACCAAGGGGCCGTGCTGGACGTTTTCTACAAAGCCCACATCCTCCGCGGGGCTGGGGGGCAGGAGGGGGACGGATGGGTGCTGGGCCCCCACCTCGCACAGCCTGCCCCAGGTTTAAGCATCTCTTCCTCCTCTCTTGCCCCATTTTGCAAAGGGGCGGACGGCTGTGAGGTTTTTTGTTCCTCTTTTTCCCCCAAACACAATCTGTCCTTCTGCGGGGAGGACCATGCTGAACACCAACTGGTAGGGAAGAAAATAAGGGGGGGGGGGGGAAGCGTCGACTCGTTTTGGCTCAAGCCCAAATATTTTGATTTGAGAAGCCGTCACAGCATCTTGTGCAAAGGACTGTCTGTCTCCTCTGGTCCTGGTCTTTGCATCCCAGGTGTTCCTCGCTGCACGTCTTCCCCGGCACGGCCGGGGTCTCCCTGGCTGGGAGGGCTGGCCACCGCAGGGATGGGCGGAGGACGTCAAGGAGGGTAGAAATCATCACTCCGCCGTGGTTTGGAGATATTTTAAGGTCTCTCTGCCCCATGGGAGGAGACTCTGGGCAGCATCTGCAGTGATGCATGTACAACACCCAACCATATCAGCACCCCAAGGCTGCGCAGGAGAGTCAAACCGAGGGTCCAGGGGAGCGATGGAAGGACAGGGGGTACCACCAGGTCTGTTGGTGACCACCCCTCGGGAAAGGGGACCTATTTTGCAGGCAGATTGCAGAGATCAGCATGTAGGTAGGAGCTGGGGAGCACCAGTCCTTGCACCCCTTTGCCAGCAAGGAGCAGCTTTTCTTTGGCCTGCTTAAAAATCTTGGTTTTCAAGTCATTAGAGCAAAACAGCAGAGGTGAAGCACAAGCACGAGGAACCACAGCCGCTGCTGATCTTGGTGTGATTTATGATTAGAAATCAGAGCTCAGGCTGATTTTTATGATGAGGCGTCATAGTTGCAGCCCCCAGTGATAGCTCTTCTCGGCGGGGATAATGTGGGGAGCGATAAGAAAGGCTGAACTTGTAATTAAATCCCGCGCGGAGCATTGTGTTCGGAGTGGGGGAGGCAGGTAAGGATCTCGCAGGCTTTTTATAGGATTAAAATTAAAGACATGCTCAGCAACGAGCACAGGTTTGGGGAATAAAAGCAAGAACAAGAACCGTTTCTCCGTCCTCCCCCACCATGGTTTCTCGCCCCGTGTCTCCCTCCCAGGTCTCCTCATCCAGCAAGTGATTTTCTTCATCTGCTCGGTGGGGTTTACCTTCCTCTTCGTCATCCCGCTCCAGTCCGGCACAAACACACACCTCTTCAAAATCATTCAGAACATGTGGTGAGCACTCACAGCCCTCAGGGAGGGATGGAAGACCCAAGTGGGTGCCATGGTCATGGTGTGTTTTGGGGTACTCTCTCAAGGGGAGGCTCTATCTTGGGCTCTTTCAACTTTGCTGGAGGTTTCTGCTGCCTGGGGTGGTGTCTCATGCCTGGGACCCTCCTGGTGTCCAACCTGTCTCTTCCCTCCCACCCAGGCCCTTCTGGTTGACCCTAGTTGTTGCCGTCATCGTGCAAAATTTGGCAGCTCACTACCAGTTCCTGGAGCAGCATCCCCTCCGGAAGGAGCTCACCAACAGGTATGGGAACGTGGGGGGCCTTTGGGGCAGAGCTGTCCCTCCCGAGGTCCGGGACCCTGGGGCTGTGTTGGGTTTACACGTGCCCCTGATGTCATGGCATCCTCTGTGCCATGAGCTCAAGGGGGAAAGCCTGCGTGTTTGAGGGGTTTAAGTGGCTCTGTGTTCCCAGAGAAGTTTCTTTAGATGTTTTAGAGGGCCATGGTCCATTTACAGCCTTGATTTTGGTGGGGTGAAGCTGGTGAGGTCTGTGCCCTGCTCCACCACCCCCATTTGCAAGCCTCGGAGGAAGCCCAGATCCCTCAGGATTGGCTGGACCGGTTCAGATGTTGCTAGCAGATGTGGTCCCTCGCTCACGCATGGTGTCACTGCCTAAGCTGTCGCCTTACACTGAAGGCCAGGGTGACAGATAAATCGAGGTGTCCTGCTCTGTCCAGCCAAGGCACTTCCATCACCTCCATCGCTTGTCCAGCATTGTGGGGTGGCTGCTGTAGGCTCTTCTGGTCCCCACAGGAGCTGGTGTTCTCCATCCCAAACCACCATACTCATGATTTGTCTGGTTTCTAAGTCTTCAAGGAGAAATGGAGACCCTGTGCGTGCTGGAGGCCGAGTCTTGAAGTCCTGACAGTGCACCAGACTGTCTCCTCTCCAAGAGCCCTGAAGGGTGTTTGCTTCTCTCCATGGGATGGAGACACCTCAAACAGGGACCGTGTCTGCTGGGGAAGGAGAGAAGGGTTGGGAGGCTTATTTTGGCAGGAGGTTTCTCTGGCAGGGAAGGGACGCTTCCCCGTCCTGTGGTGTTTGTGTTCCTTACTCCTCCTTCACCACCCGCAGGCGAGCTCTCTACATAGTGACCTACCTGCTCTTCCCCATCAACGTCCTGGTGGGCGTCCTGGCCGGGGTGTGGAGGATGGTCATTTCTGGCCTTTATAACGCTGTCCACTTACGCC